CATTGTCAACACTGCTGCTGAGGGGTTTGGCATTCAGAAGCAGTAAATGAGGCTCCCCAGTAGCTCACAAGGTAGAGCCAGTACCACATATCAAGGCTGAGTTACCACAGGAGCCTGGGTTTGAATTCAGTAAAGGGACTGGGCTGGATGCAGAGACCAAGACCTGGGGGACTGAAGGGCTTTCATGCCAGAACAAATGCCACAGTTCAAACCAGGGAGCCTTGAAGTGAAGCTAAAACAAGCTCAGCCTCAGGCCCTCTTAAGGTCTACAAGAGGTGCCCCAGGCTCTTGTTATGCCAAGCAACATAAGCTTGGCACCAGCTGGAGAAGGGGATCATTTCTGAATGCACCATTTCAGTGATCCTGTTTGCCATGAACATGGTTGTCGAATCAGCAAATGTGAAGTATAGAGACTCTGTCACCATGTCTGGTGTTCCACAGCTCCATTGATGGCTTGATAATAACAACATCAGCGTCTAAATGCAGATGGATCCTCAAGGGTCCTGAGAGATTAATCACCTGGGCCCGGTTGAGTTTTAAAACTGGTCAAGGTCCATGGTCTTAAGGAGGGATTAAGTTAATAAGAAATTCTGTGTCTTCCTTGGAGGTATTCAGATTCACTGAGAGGCCAGTTAAGAATTAAGCAGTCCATAGCACGCTCTAGGACACAGCTGTACTCCAGGAGACCAAGGTATTTGATGTATGACAGGCAGAGGAGGATAGCTCTGGGTTGCTGGGAAGTTAAAGGCCTGGCTCAATCAACATGGGATCCAGGTGTTTTGTGACCGTTGCTGTTTAATGAGGAAGATCAGCCACTTCTTGCCATGGTGGCTGTGACTTCCACAAAGTCTGAGCAGCCTTGTCTTATAAGCAGAATCACAAGCTACAGTGACCCTTCAGCTGCCTGACTGAGGAGTTTGTGGTTACTTGGGCAAGGGTGGTGGTTTTTAGGGGTGATTTTTAAAATGTGATATCGACAGCAGTAGCATTATGCTAGATTTATGGGTTTAACCCTGAACAGAAACATACATTGCACATAAGATAGCATAATAATACATCTAGCTGTAAGTGGCAGTGGCAGTGACAGCAGCTGAAGATTCAAGGTGCCCACAGCTAAAGAAGGGGGCACAAGATACATTATTTAAAGGCCCCCAGAATTTGTAGCACTGCCCATGCTGAGCAGATGCACATTATCTGGTAGTTTAAAAAACAACAGGACAACATAAAAATGTCTCTATAGATTAAATAATCAGGTTCACAGCAGAAAAAAACACAAGTTAAGTCTTTACCCTTAGTGTATTTCCACAGGCACCTTCTGTGGCCTGGACTTCGTACCACACTGCATCATCATGCACTCTGACCCAGGAGCAATTGCGGGATGCTAGGTTGCCCGAGAATGGGTTCAAACCAGAAGATGTCAAGCTTGCCATATCCAGCCCCACGTAGAGTTTATCATGGCCACAAATAAGCTCTGCAGACTGGAGTGCAGGATGCTGGACTATAGAGGAAGATATAATGTCAGAGAAGTGTGAGAGAAAGAAGAAAGGAAATTAGATGGTAAATACTTTATACCAATGATGAACTGTATTATGTCAAAACATTTCAAAATATAAAAGGAAACCTACATTCACACACAACGCTGGCATCTTCAATGTGACCGCAGTTGTGGATCCCAAATCCTCGATGTCTGCAGTCTGTTATCGATGATTCATTTCCAAAACAGCTGACATCATCCAGCCAGATGGGTCCACTGCCCTGTCCATAAGCTGCATTTGTTGGTGCAGAACGAGCAGTGCCACAGCCCAGCTGTCTGCACACCACGTTGGCATCCCTCAGGTCCCAGGCATCGTCACACACCGTCCCCCACTGTCCATGATGGTAGAGCTCCACTCTGCCAGAGCAGCGGTTGTCAGAGTTGACCAGCCTCACTGGTGAACCAGCTAACAGAAAAACATGCACATAATACTGTTGATATGGCAAATAACAAATAGTTACTCACTAAGACTTCACTGCTTTTAGCTGTACAAATTTGTATTTACCTTCACACACGACACCAGCATCCTCATGGTGACCGCAATTGTGAGATCCAAACCCACGGTGCCTGCACTGGGTGAGCTTTGATTCGCTGCCTGTGCACGTGACATCATCCAGCCAGATGGGCCCTCTGCCCTGTCCAAAACGTGCACCTTGTGGTGCTGACACGGCCCTGCCACAGCCCAGCTGTCTGCACACCACCTGAGCATCAACCAGGCCCCAGTCATCGTCACACACCGTCCCCCACTGTCCTCGGAGGAAGATCTCCACTCTGCCGGAGCAGGAGCTGTTTCCTCCATCGGCCAGGCGGACCTGCCCCTCAACTCCTGTGCTGTTGTCTGCGGTGTTGTGGTGTTAGCTATCACCTGAGCAGTGGTGGTGTTTGAGGTCTTGGAGTCGGTGTGGTTGGTGAAACTGTGCTGTTGGATCCTGGTTGAACTGAAAGAAAAGTCTCTGTGAAATCACAAGAAAACTATAGCCTGCACTGCCAGCTGCAGTCATGAGGAAAAGCCCCCTTTCTTTATTATTGATGGAACTGATTATGTTATTGTTGGGTACAAAATCCATTTATGGATCAACGTATCTTTTTCTTTTAAGAAGAAAGGAAAATAGATGGTAAATACTAAATACCAATGATGAGAACCTCCGTAAACCTCAGTTTGTAATTTGAACTGTATTATGTCAAAACATTTCAAAATATAAAAGGAAACCTACATTCACACACAACGCTGGCATCTTCAACGTGACCGCAGTTGTGGACCCCAAACCCTCGATGTCTGCAGTCTGTTATAGAGGGTTCATTTCCAAAACAGCTGACATCATCCAGCCAGATGGGTCCACTACCCTGTCCATAAGCTGCATTTGTTGGTGCAGAACGAGCAGTGCCACAGCCCAGCTGTCTGCACACCACGTTGGCATCCCTCAGGTCCCAGGCATCGTCACACACCGTCCCCCACTGTCCATGATGGTAGAGCTCCACTCTGCCAGAGCAGCGGTTGTCAGAGTTGACCAGCCTCACTGGTGAACCAGCTAACAGAAAAACATGCACATAATACTGTTGATATGGCAAATAACAAATAGTTACTCACTAAGACTTCACTGCTTTTAGCTGTACAAATTTGTATTTACCTTCACACACGACACCAGCATCCTCATGGTGACCGCAATTGTGAGATCCAAACCCACGGTGCCTGCACTGGGTGAGCTTTGATTCGCTGCCTGTGCACGTGACATCATCCAGCCAGATGGGCCCTCTGCCCTGTCCAAAACGTGCACCTTGTGGTGCTGACACGGCCCTGCCGCAGCCCAGCTGTCTGCACACCACCTGAGCATCAACCAGGCCCCAGTCATCGTCACACACCGTCCCCCACTGTCCTCGGAGGAAGATCTCCACTCTACCGGTGCAGGAGCTGTTTCCTCCATCGGCCAGGCGGACCTGCCCCTCAACTCCTGTGCTGTTGTCTGCGGATGTTGTGGTGTTAGCTATCACCTGAGCAGAGGTGGTGTTCTGAGGTCTTGGAGTCGGTGTGGTTGGTGAAACTGTGCTGTTGGATCCTGGTTGAACTGAAAGAAAAGTCTCTGTGAAATCACAAGACAACTATAGCCTGCACTGCCAGCTGCAGTCATGAGGAAAAGCCCCCTTTCTTTATTATTGATGGAACTGATTATGTTATTGTTGGGTACAAAATCCATTTATGGATCAACGTATCTTTTTCTTTTAAGAAGAAAGGAAAATAGATGGTAAATACTAAATACCAATGATGAGAACCTCCGTAAACCTCAGTTTGTAATTTGAACTGTATTATGTCAAAACATTTCAAAATATAAAAGGAAACCTACATTCACACACAACGCTGGCATCTTCAACGTGACCGCAGTTGTGGACCCAAACCCTCGATGTCTGCAGTCTGTTATAGAGGGTTCATTTCCAAAACAGCTGACATCATCCAGCCAGATGGGTCCACTGCCCTGTCCATAAGCTGCATTTGTTGGTGCAGAACGAGCAGTGCCACAGCCCAGCTGTCTGCACACCACGTTGGCATCCCTCAGGTCCCAGGCATCGTCACACACCGTCCCCCACTGTCCTCGGAGGAAGATCTCCACTCTGCCGGAGCAGGAGCTGTTTCCTCCATCGGCCAGGCGGACCTGCCCCTCAACTCCTGTGCTGTTGTCTGCGGGTGTTGTGGTGTTAGCTATCACCTGAGCAGAGGTGGTGTTCTGAGGTCTTGGAGTCGGTGTGGTTGGTGAAACTGTGCTGTTGGATCCTGGTTGAACTGAAAGAAAAGTCTCTGTGAAATCACAAGACAACTATAGCCTGCACTGCCAGCTGCAGTCATGAGGAAAAGCCCCCTTTCTTTATTATTGATGGAACTGATTATGTTATTGTTGGGTACAAAATCCATTTATGGATCAACGTATCTTTTTCTTTTAAGAAGAAAGGAAAATAGATGGTAAATACTAAATACCAATGATGAGAACCTCCGTAAACCTCAGTTTGTAATTTGAACTGTATTATGTCAAAACATTTCAAAATATAAAAGGAAACCTACCTTCACACACGACACCAGCATCCTCATGGTGACCGCAATTGTGAGATCCAAACCCACGGTGCCTGCACTGGGTGAGCTTTGATTCGCTGCCTGTGCACGTGACATCATCCAGCCAGATGGGCCCTCTGCCCTGTCCAAAACGTGCACCTTGTGGTGCTGACACGGCCCTGCCGCAGCCCAGCTGTCTGCACACCACCTGAGCATCAACCAGGCCCCAGTCATCGTCACACACCGTCCCCCACTGTCCTCGGAGGAAGATCTCCACTCTACCGGAACAGGAGCTGTTTCCTCCATCGGCCAGGCGGACCTGCCCCTCAACTCCTGTGCTGTTGTCTGCGGGTGTTGTGGTGTTAGCTATCACCTGAGCAGTGGTGGTGTTCTGAGGTCTTGGAGTCGGTGTGGTTGGTGAAACTGCTGTGTGTTCACCTCTGTTAACAACAGACAACAGTGAGACACTCGTGCTAAGCCAGTGAGATTTTTTTGGTCCGTAAATTATTCATTCACTTTAAGAACAAGAAGACATTAGTTTCTTCACTACTTTCTTAAAATATAAATGAATGCTTTAGATGAGAACATTGCATTTGTTGTTACAGTGTAAAGATGTTTAAAATGGAATAATACCTGCACAGTATGCAAGTGAGCAAGTGGAAGGCTTTACAAGTTTATAGACGTAGTAGTTTCCATAGCAGAGCTTGACATGGATGGTGTGTGTCGGAAAAGTGCAGCAGCTGTGCCAGGAATTACACACAGTACGATTTACTATTTCATCAGACTGTGTGGGATGAGGCTCTGTTATCCACATAGTAGCATGGGTTCCACACCTGTTTTCAGGTATACACCTCTCTGGAATATGAGCACTGGTTTGCCACAGTAACAGGCGATACCAGCCTTGCCAGTTAACATTTCGGTCACAGTGAATGACTGTATTTGATGTGTTATTCGTTGAACGCCAGTCGTCATTCAGTACAGTGTAGTGCTCACAGGGGTCAGCACAACGGAGAACCCCATTATAACTGATGCAGTCCATGCCTGAAGGACAAACTGTGTTTCCACAGTTGAACTGGACATATTGAGAGGAGGGGCTCGATCTTGAGCTGGAGGAAGACTCCAAACATTGGAAAGAGCCTGGGGTGTTTTGGCAAACCTGGGGTGGCATGCACGGTGAGTCTGGAAGGGAACACTCGTCAGTGTCCACACAGCCACTGTCTGGTGACCAGTGATAACCTTGGCTACAGCAAGAAGAGTCACTGCAGAGTTTTGCATTGTAACAGGCGAGACCATCGCCTACAAATCCATCTTTACAGACACAAGAGAGCGCCGGGCTGGTGAGAGAGTCTCCTCTTTCTCGTGACTCCAGGCAGGTGGCTTCATCATGACATGAATCACAACTGGAGACAAGTGTCCCTGTGAAAAGTAAGAGGATAGTTTGTGCATGATGTAAGTAATTTGAAGTAGCTTTTCCAGGTAAAACGGTGAAACTACAGTGAAATTACATGCAATTGGCGTAATGAACAAAACTAATTCAGGATCATTTATGTTTAGTTATCCTGTGAGTACAATTACACAGAAAACATCTGTTCAAATCTCACTGTAGAGTTATACCAGAGGTGCAATCACCATCAAAGTTTACCACTGTTTATTTTATTTTCAAGGATTTTCACAACTGAATGCAAGATTTTACGTGGTCTCTTAATACTGTGTCATGGTTGATTATTATTACAAAGGCAGTTCAGGTAGAAAGGACTTTGTGTTATGGTTTTGGGTTTGACTTTAGCTATGTCCTGGTTTATTTTATGAGAGTCCTCCTTCATGTGTCTTGGATTACTTTACTTTACTTCCTGGGATTATGTGTTTTTCAGGACAGTTTTGATTGTCTGCCCACCCTGATCCTAATCTGGAGCAGTGTTGGGAAGGTTACATTTACCAATTAATTTATCAAAGTAATGTAAGGACTATGGCAGGAAATTGCAAAGGAATACATTGTGCACATGAAAAACATGCAGAGCAACAAAATGAACATTATTCAACATATAGCCGAGCTTTTTACAGATAATGTTCAGATGTAACCCCCAATGTAATCATGAACATTTTCATTAGTAACTGTAATTTAGTTATACATTTTTCAGTAAATGTAGCGGATTACAGTTAAATTTATTTTGTAATTAAATTATTTAACAAAATTACATGTAAATAGTTACTCCACAACATTCGTCTGGAGTTGTTTCAATTCCACATGTTCCATGTTACCCTGTTTGAAAAACTGTTTAACATTTTATGTTAAATTTTTGTCTGGACCAGGAAGTTTTCTAATGAATATCTGAAAATTATATAATCATGTAATATTGATATTATAGAAAAGCAAGGGTGAAATTATGTACCAGACAGCTAATTTGGAGGTGCATTTATAAAAAAGCCATCTTAACTTTTATTATTGAAGTTAATGTAAGAATAATATGGCTTCACTAAATCACTGGAATAGAAATACTGACAGTGCCAAATAAAATGTTTTATCCTAAATCAACTTAAAGAGAAATTTGGGGAAATTTAAAGTTAACAAGTTCTTTTATGAACTATGTAATTCATCCCAATGTTGTTGGTGCCTGAATTTATAATTTGTGTGTGGAGAAAGAAAGGCAGAGTACTATTTAATTAAAGACTTTTAATTGAAGTGCATCCATGCATGACACAGAAGGAGCAAAGGAGCCACACAAAAATCTATTTAAATGTGTTTTTTTTTTAAGTACAATTACACCCAAGATGACAAGATGTTACATGACCTACCTGAAGTGCTTCCTGTTAAAATCTGCAAAATTAGGAGCAATAACAAACCCCCAGGCACCCCCATTATGGACCACATCCACGACACCAACTTGCTGAAAAAACAAAAAAGAAGTCTTAAAATCACATTTTCAAAAGATGCTGCCATATTCATTACTTTGCCAGACATTGTTCTTACCTTTGAAAGACTGTGGGAACCCAGGAGTTAGTGACAGTGAATATCTCCCAGTGAGTGACAGTGTGAGAATTTATAGGCCCCTATGTGTGCTCAAAAGACCAATGGGGGTCACCGACAGCACCGATACATGTAGTATGACATCAAAAGAGTTACTTATTAATCAAATAACGTAAAATGATAAATTCAGACTTAACTGGCACACAAACAAAGGCCTGAGTCAATATATTTTATGGTACCACAATCTATCTCAGGTCAGTGTTGAAACAAGGAGACTCTTGTTTCTAGGTTTGTACATTCTAATGTTAATCCCATTTATAACCACACTTCGTCAACATTGACTGAAAAGCCAGAGAGCACACTGAGTACTCTCGAAACTCCATGAAAATTAGTTTCACCAATTCAAGGGCCACGTACTTGCTGTTTCCAATGTCAAATAGACTGTGCCTTTCTAGTCCTCCGACCAGTCAAAGCACAAACAAAACATGTCGCATTCACCCGTTCACACACATTCATACACTGATGACACAGCCTTCAGGAGCAATTTTGGGTCCAGTATCTTAGACAAAGATATTTCAACATACAGACTTGAGGAGCCGGGGATCAAACACCTACCGATAAGTGGGCGACACGCTCTTCCTCCTGTGCCACAGCCTCAACTGTACCTGACAGTTTATATTTACATCTCACTCAGTTTGACTGAGCAAATGCCATCCATTTCAGTAAATTGTAAGAGGACCATGAATTAGGATTATTTTGTCAATATCTTAAAAGTCTAAGGAAGAAGGAAGGACACGCAGTTAGAAATACATTTTAAAAGATGTCAACCGTTTGATGAACCCCTTGATGTCAGTGGCATCAGGTAAATCTCAACGCTTCTCTCATCATGCATCAGTATGGCATGTGCATGTTGGACCCCATCTTATATCTCTGCATTATATATCTGCCTTTGAAAAGGTTTGTTTTTATGAAATTAGGAGCATCTCACTTGTACAGCTGGGAACAGTGTGTGAATGGGTGAATGTGTTGTAGCGTAAAACGATTTGTTGATGCGAAGACTTGAAAGGATACAGACCATTTAGCAACTTGATTCATTGTGTAATTATTATGGTAATAAGTCACTTATTATCTTTATTTTTGGAATCACTGCAGCCCTTCTTGCAATCATATTTCAAAACTCACTTCCTCTTCAGTGTTTTATTATTCTGAGGTAAATGGTACTTTGTTCCATTTTAAGACGGGCTAATAAGATTTTTACAACCCTTTATGCCAGTAAGTACCAGTGTGCAATAGTGTGCCCTTCATACAGTATTACTAATAGTGCTACGTACAAAGCAATTGTTGGAAAGTTGGGCATCATTTCAAAGGAAAGCCATACACAAACACAGCAATCAGTCACACAGGCACTGCTAAGAAAGCACATGTTTGTGTGGATATTAGCTCAGACACCTTCAATGCTAAGATGTCAAATAATCAATACTAAAAGTAAAGAACACAATACATCACAGCACATGGTGACAGATTAACATAGGGTGTTTTGATCTTTGTCATAAATGTTATAGAACATTCTCAGGTGTCTTAATTGATGTGACAAGGAAAAGTAAGACAGGTCTAGCTTGGAGTCATTAGCTGACCCCACAAGTGTTCACTGACCTTCCAGCTGTAGTTCTTTCTCACATGTAACTGTCCTTGTTAGGGAGACAACAGTTAGACTGATAAGGTAGAGACAGTAGCTCAGGCGTCAGGCTGGCAAAAATCAGTGTTCTCTGGGAATCTGACAAGGTTGAGTCTTACAAAATGTTTAACAAAAACTTACTGGCTCCACAGATTAGCGTACAACTCATGGATAGAATTTGATTCCAATTTGACGAAGCATCGGAGTCTAAACATCAGATAGATTTGTTGTTCTAGGTAAAGGCCAGCTAAAGATGAACTAAGTGGGAAACCTACAGGAACTAGGGGGAAGACAGAAACATAAAAGTGACCAAATGCTCTGTTGTTATCGTTCAGATTTGGTGTTGACATTTAACGTGTTCAAATGTTGAATGCTGGCACTGTATCTCCTTGGCTGGGCTCAATAAACCAAACTATGTTAAAGAGGTGGTATAATGCTGTATGTTGTTCATCAAATGTTGTATGTTGTTCATCAAATGTAAGTCACTTTGGATAAAAGTGTCTGCTAAATGAGTAAATGTTTTTTGCCTTTTTCCCTCTCCTTTATTGAGTTTGCAAAGTGAAAAAGCCCAAAGTCCACCCCAAAGGGAGTTCCCATCTCCCACAGAAAACACTGCTCTGAACTGCCAGAAAACAGCTCATTTGTAGTCCAGCCGCTTCCCTTTCATGACGACATAATTGCTGAAGTTCGAAACAGCTGATGGATTACAATTTCAGGATAATGGATGGAGAAATTCATTCATTCTTTTGTCCATGTGACTCCAGCTTGGGACTTTTACTCTTCTGTTGTTGTTAATTTAAAGTTAATATGATGTCGGATTGTATAGAAAATCAAATGATTTATATGATGTGGTGGGAAAAGCGTGTTTAAATAAACAGCTCAGGCAAACACTTGTCTTTCTGTGAATTTTATTCAAGTCTTCTGCAGAAGGAACTCACAGGGACACATACGCATCAGAGAGTATCATCCAAGTGAGCTGCAGTGTAACAGCTCATGCAGCTTTTATCTTAGTCTCAGGGTCGGAGTACTATCTCATCAAGGTGTCTTTGAGCGTTCCCGAGGGGGACACTCAATCTGGATCTATAGAAAGACACCCATGTCCAAGGTACATGTGGTGAACCACTTAAAGTCCTGACCCCTCTGGACATATGTTAAAGCATCACACACATTTACCTTCCATTGACCCCTGGAGGCCCCTAGTGAGATTAGTTACATGGCAGTGTTTTAAAGATGGTTCTTATGAAATTCCCATTACAATCCTTAATGGTTTGAAAAAAAAAAGTTTACTGTGCCTATGAAAATTGTTTACCCCCCTTGGAAGTGATCATGTTTTATTGTTTTACTGCAATGAGTCAAAGACTTTACGTCAGTGTTTCGATGCAGATCAACAGGATCTCAAAGTAATGTAATTTAATTAGAAATGTAATTCAAATACAACCTAATGTTTAAAATATTTATTTTATTCAGTAAAAACCCTTCATTTTAGGTTCATAATGTAATTCAATTAAAGTAATTTTCAAAGTCAAAACACTTTTGCCACAGCCTTGATGACATTTCTTTACAAACAAAACAATAAGAGAAATCAATCACCTTATATTTCCTTTTACATAGATAAATAAAACAAGTCACAATAATAGTTAGCTTTGCTCTGTTCTGTTATTCACACACCAGTCACCCCTCTTCTGTAAATTCAGATTTGGTCCCTGGAAGCTCACCCATCACCTTCAACCATAAAACCTAACAGAAGGGTTCTCTGTTAATTGTGCAATGGTAATGTAGTGATTCCACAATGATTTACAAAGTCAAGTTTAGCAGATATAAAGTTCAGTGAAACACAGAGGGACATCACTTGGCCACTGGCAGTCCACATACACCTACTAGCCAGTGAATAAATTGTTAGAGGGCCTAATAATCCCAGACCAGAAATGTCACTGATCATTGTCGTTACATCGCTTTTCTCCACCATCAAAGATCTCCAGTGTTGGTCATTGAGGAGGCTCCCGACTCCATCTGCAGTGCTGCCTCCACACTGTCTGTATACATGAGGCCCTGCAGATCAGCTGCTAGGAGGACCTCAAGAACAAAGGGCTAAAGGTGGGAGGAAGACAGAGACAAAGTGTACATACTGTATATTTAGTTTTGTTGTTCTAAGAGCTGAATTCTAGCCTCAAACAAAAAAGCACTTTATTTAGAAATTCACAGTGAGCAAATGTTCCAATCTTGTTGGAAGAACAACTTGACGGCCAAATAATGACGGCCAATAATTTGTACTCCAATAAAAGCCTGTAAGACAGGACAGAATGCCGTACCTGCAATCTGGAAAAAAACAGTCGCACTTCTCGTTTTTTGAACTGCCTCAGCAGGTCCCTCAGCTCACTGATCACTGAGTAATCTATGATGCTGACATGATGGCAATCCAGGACCACCGACCGCGGTGGAGACGCTGGGGGCAAGTAAATGAGAGGAGGTTAAACAAGACAGAGATCACCACACATTACCATTTCGTGTAGGTGTCCTTTAAACAAAAGGCTACCAGACACATCCTTACCCTGCAGAGCCCAAGTGTGTATGATGTGGCTGAGATACTCTGTGGCAGGAAAGCTGAGACCACTGTCCAACTCCATCACCAGCACACCTTGATCAGAAACCTGTACACAAAAATAATCTGTAAAGCAACTTTGAGTATTTAGAGTGCTTTATAAATTTAATTTATTATTACTGTCTGAGGGGTGTGTTTAGATGATGAATAAGTAGCAGCAATGTATGTTGAATTTAACTCCATGTAGTGATGATGATCCAATCATGTCTCTAACCAAAGCGAATTTCTTTTGTACCGTTAAAGAAAGAAGCAAAGAAACATTTGTGTGCTGGCACTGAAAGGCTAAATATCTGTCACAGAGGACTCTTCCTTTAATTGTCATACACAGTCCTGTGCAGAATATTATGTTACCTTTATCTGGGGTCTTGCAGTGTTGTACAGCAGCAGGGCTCCAGATACAGCTACACCTCCCATGATACCGTACTGCACCTGCCAGAAACTCATCAGGAACGTCACAACAAAAGGCAGCAGGTCCAGCTCTGTAGAAGATGCACTAGCATGAGACCACAATTAAACAAACAGATACATGTGAGACACAAAAAACTGAACAGACACCTACTGCGTATCCTCCACATCTTAGCCACGACACGGTAATCCACCATGGGAGTTACCGCACAGATGATAACAGCAGCTAGTGAGGCCTTGGGGATGTAGTAGAAGGCCGGCATGAGGAACGCCAGGGAAAGCAATACGATCACACCTGCAAAAACACACAGAGAGAAGGTGAACTGTACAGAAATTCATCATTTACAAACTAAGAAAAACACGTATCTGATTGAACCAGCACATAATGCACTGTAACAGTAAAAATAACAGTG